CACCAATAATTTATATAGAGAATCTAATAGTGGAAGATAATATATGATTATTTTCTAATTATTTTGTTTCTTTCTATTTGATTAATTTTCGGCAAAACAACTTATTTTTTTTGTGGAATATATTTTAAATGATTCATTTAATTTTTTTATTTTCTTTATAGATAATTGTATATAGTATACAATACTTGACTTATAAATTTTAAATAAATATAATGATTCTCATCGTTCGCCATTTATTTTAATTTCTTAAAATTAATTTCATCAGTTCAATTCTGAAATTTGGTTTTAAAGAAGTGATTCTTTTATAAGAAGCTTTAACATCATGGTTTGTCAATAGATTAGTGAGTCATATATCCTGAAATACTTTGAGTGATGGTTTCAGATCTCTCTATTAACTTAATAAATAAATAAATAAAAGAATAATGCTTGTTAAATTGAAATGGAAAAACTAATTAATAAACGGTTAAATGGAAAAACTAATTAATAAACGGTTAAAACTTTGCAACTTAATATTTTTACTAAGTGAATAATATAATGAGTGATGATGTGATTGGTAAGTAAGTTTATTGAGTTAATAATGATGTAATTCTTTATAAATTATTTAATCACAATCGAATTAAAAAAAATTAATCTTAAAGTGTGAATACTAATTTCAAAATTACTTGAGTGTTAAGTAAAAAAAACAAAGAAATGAAAAGAATCAACAAGTACTTACTTTTTGTAATTTGTCTCGGAATATTCGACTTCTTTTCAGCCCAAGGGATTTGAATATTGAAGTAAAAAATTGGGCTTTTAGAACTCAGCCCAAGCAATGGCTAGCTTTCTTGGGCCAACCAAAGGGGTTAGAGAGTAGAAACAGAAGAAAACATTGGGCATCCATTCAGGCTTTGTGCTAGATTATACAAGAAGGGCTTCTTGAGAGAAGTAGTTGAACTCAATAATTACACAAGTTCAAAACAAAAAATTTTGGGCCATTGAAAATGTCATTGTTTTCGACTCAGAAGAAGCCCAGTGAAAACAGCTTGTAGTTGAAAGCCCAATTTAGCCTCATTAAAAACAATTGGTTATTAGGATCCGATCCAAAAGAAGATGAATTATGAATGCCTTTTAACATTTTTTCTTTCTGACGATGAAAAGATTCTACTACAGGGAGGACCTGTTTCTTTATTTATTATTATTTTTTTCTCAATGATCCCATGATTCAAATTTAAAGGTCAATAAGGTTTGAGGTTAATTGGTACTTACAATTTTGAAGTCGGAGCTCAACAAAAGTGTACCGTGTATGCAAGGTTTCTTTTGAGTTTTTGGTGATTTATGTGTATTTTTTAATACGTAAAAGTTAAAAATTAAATTTTAAATTTATGATAAAAATATATGTAATTATGCTATTAGACCACATAATTGATGGTTGATTTACTTGTACTATAGTTAAAGGGTTATACATAATTTTGTAGTCCATACAAGAAAAAAACTAAAACGCCCTAACCATTCCAACACCCACCAAGAGTTATGCTTACCATAAGAATCTCATAGTCTTCTTCTTCTTCTCTTTCTATTTTTTTTTTTTTTCTTCTTTATAGTCTTCCCTTAAATTCTAAATTATGCAATAAAAAAAAAATTTCTCGTATCATTTTCACCAACCTCATCTACATGGCCACCTAGCATTGAAACCGAATCCTCTTATTTTCCTTCGAAGTGAATTATCATCTCATTCATTTTCTTAGGATAAAAGCCCTTCTTAAAACTCTAAACATGCTCCTAATTGCCATTTAGATATCTAAACTTAAAATAGTGCAAATAATCTCTCTAACTCCTCCATTGGTGCAAATAAACCCTCCAAATACTGAAACTTAAAGCAGAAGCGTAGACACCTATGTTTTTATGTCGACACTCTAAGTAATTTTTAGTTTTAAAAACTTGTATTTTGAACTTAGAACTTTTTTGTTTTTGGTATTTTCCTCAGCATTTAAAAGTTATATTGAGTTTCAATTAGTTTAAAATCGAATTGGATTAGACCCCATAAAAGGGAAGTTTTTCCACATTGTCTCTTAATTTATAAGATTTGAATTTAAGATTTTATTCTAGAGGAATTTAACTCTTTCCACTTGAACTCATATATCATTAGTAACCCAGTCCTACTTTTTTAATAGAGTTTTCTTAAAATAGACTAAAACCTAGAGTTTAATTGTAGATTAATTAAATATCTCATTTTTATTAACAGAAAATTGAAAATGCCACATATATTGTTCATAATTCATACATTTCAAAAGAAGATAGAGAACCTAGAGTTCATAATTCATGGTACTTTTTAACATACATAACAAAACTCTACTAAATATCATAAATTAAACTCTAAATTTTGTTAAAAAATATATAATAAAAAATTACAAAAACAAGCACAATAAAAAAAAAAAATCATCTACAACATGGAATAGTACTACACCAATATCTACATTTACATAAAATAGTGGAAGGAGAAGAACGAATAAATTTAGTCTATGTCAGATCATAGCTATTCGAGCTGTTAGTGATAAGGGCTTATTTGCACCACTCGAGAAGTTGAGGGTTTAGTTGCATCATTTTTAGTTTAAGGGCTTAAAATGCTAATTTGGGGCAAGTCTACGGGCTTGAAGGGTCTCTGCTTTTTCTTAGGTATTTACCATTTTTTTTGGTTATTTATAAGCAATTTAAAATAACCATCTCCTCCCTATTTCGTACAGAAATTCAAAAAAAAAAAAAAAATCAAAAAGGAAAAGGGAAGCAAGGCATGAGTCGTGAGAGGGAGTCTACGCAGCGGAGGCCAAATCGGAACGAACATGATGCACTCCTTTCTCTTTTTCCTAGCTCCAATTCATCTCCTGCTCCGCAAAATCTCCATTGTTAACGATCTGTTGAGCTCCAAAGCCATAACACAGGAAGGCCGAGGAGGAGGAGGGAGAAGAAGAAGATTAGCGGCCATGATTACGCGATCGAATCTACCGGAGCAGTTGAGAGAGTACCAGATTCGATCCAAGCATGATTGGGCATCCTTTTCGTTTTTCTCTTCCACTTCCAATATCGCTTCTTCTAGGTAGGTAACCCTAATTCGCCTCTTAATTTTCCGTTTTCGGTTTTCTATTCTTCGCAATTTGATGTTTTTGGTTGGGAATGCTGGAATTGATTGAGTTTATTTCGTGTTCTGGTTGTAATCTTATCGTCTGGATCGAAAATCGGTGTCAATTTAGCGATATGACTGGATCAGCTAGGGTTTTTGAATTTTTTGAACAAATTGAGAGATAATTGAAGATTTAGAAGGTCAATTAGGTTAGAAAATCACCGTTTAGGTTCCCGATTGATACATCTTTATTTCAATTGGTTGTAAAACTATATCCAGATTGTTTAATTTTGTTTATAATGCTTTAGAATTTTCTTTACAAGCAATTAGGTTAGTAAACTATATGAAGAGATGTTTTTTCATGCTCATTTTGCAGTTTGAAATCATTATTTTTTGGGTGAATTTGACATCATTGACGCACTGTTGTGTTTTTTGTACAAAGGATCTGTATTGATTAGAGAGTTAGTTTGATGATGAGAGCTTGTTTCAACTTTTTTGGGTTGCCAATTGTCAAAATCATAGCTTCAAATTCTTAACCTTCTGTAGTTGTTACCTTGTCCCAGCTAAGTTTACTTTTCCTGTTTAATCTTTCAAAGCGGCAAAGCCTATTGTTTAGGGTACTGTATCCTCTCAAATTGCTATTCTTCATAGCTGTTGGGTCCAACATGATTGTGGTGAGAGATGAATGTATCTCTTTCCACATATGTTGCAGAAATAGAGTATATAATGCCCTAAAAATTTTTTCAACATGATTATCAAATTTGTGTCTTCCCTTTTTTAAAAATAAGATGAGTTCTTATGGTTGTGCTATTCTCTATTTGTGGATGCAGGGTGGATGTTGTCATCTTTGTCATATGGGAACTCATCATTCTTGCTTTTCTGGTTTTTTCTGCAGTTTCATTATATTTTAGGCATATGAAACTTGGTTTTATCTTAGTATGCATCACGTTGCTTTTGCTTCTATGCATGAAAATTACAAAGCAAGTGAGATTGGCTAGAAAGAAGAAACGTAGGATGCTTCTTCCATTGTCTATGTAGAACACCACGAAGGTTATTATTTTTTTTTTTTTCCTTTTCTCTAAATGATCAACTTTACCATGTAAATTGTGGAAACATGTGGCCATTTTGTTTGGCCTATTCACGCCCTTTGTTTACTGGAATATGTAATTTCATCTAATGAAAGTTGATTGAGAAATATACTTAGTGTGATTACCCAAAGACTGATGAACAATATGGTTTTGTCTTATTTGATGGAATGTTGGATTTTTCCATTGAACTAGGGCCATTTCATTTGGCCTACTCAATGTCTTTCTTTTTGATGCAGGAAAATTAGAGAAGTTCTAGTTTCAGATCTATTTGTGCGTTAATTATTTTAGTTCCTAGTATCTTACTTACATTACATTAGTTTTATTGTTCCAGCTTCTCAGTTTACTGAAACATTGTATAAACAGATTTTTAGACCTCTTTCAGCTGGTTTACCATATTCTATATTCACAATAAGCTTCTTTTGTTTGACTTATTTGAGTAGCTTCCAGCGTCAATTTTACGTTGAATCTTGGCGACGGTTTGTTATTTGTTGTAATCCAATCTATCTGCATCACTATAATTAATTGCATTTGCGTACTTCACTTAAAGAAACTATATTGGCCATAAGCATAATTTTCTTTTCTTTTCTTTTCTTTTTTTCCTTTTTGGTATTGAGAAACTAAGGATTGAATTTTAATCCATAATTAGGAGTATAAATAACTCTACAAACAAATTACATGGCAGATGGTGTAATTTTTTCATCTCTTATATCTTTAGTTTCTGTCTTTCTTTTAACAAATGACTTAATTTCTATGTTTCATTCCCCCTTTGTCTGAAATATATATATAGTTTGTTTTTTCTTTCTTTAGGTGTAGGAAAAATATATATAGTTAAGTTCATTAATTAAGTAGGAATACATGTTAGAAGTTGATTTTCAGCTGATATTAGTAGCACAATACAATATCGTACACGGGATCTGCCAAGCCAGTCTGTGGGCTTTTTTTCGTTTCTAATTCTTTGAGGCTTGAGCTACTACTTGGGCTTGAAAAAGTTTGCTTCTATTCCCGAAGTCACTAAGCTCCATATTGCTCCCATAACCACCAAAACACTGAGGACCAGCCCTGAAATCCCTAGAACACAGTTGAGCCACCAAAATGGACTATATTCCTTTGGTTTCTTGATTAAAACCCACATCAAGCAAGGATACGCCAAGGTGATTGGTAGTGCAATCCCTCCGATCAACCCAGCTAAGCTCGGTAAGAACGGCAGCGCTATTGCCACGAAGAACGCAAAGAATCCAAATAAAACCCTGATCCCTGATCGCACCCACTTCGGGCATGGTCCATTCCTTTTGCTTATGTATAATTTGAACTCCAAATTGTCAAAAACTGGCATTGCATATATCTGGAATGAACTCAGGCTGTTTATGACCACTAGCAGGCATGCTAATCCCAGAAGCACTTTCGACGTATCGTGACGGTGGTATTTGTACCATGCAGTTAACACCCCTTCATTTGTGCGTATCTGTGGCAACAAGCAAACAACAATGTCAAGACTTCTCTATGCTCTTTTTACCTTCTAAGTTTTCATTAAAAAGCAGAGTTTTATTTCGGTCCAATATTCAAGTTAGTCATGGGCTTATCTTAGACTCTTACCAAATTTCCATAAACCCAATAGCCTCCAATTGCGAGAGGAAACAAGCACATGGCAATAATCAAATAAGCAAACTTCACTCCTTTCCACATTGGCAAACGAGAAGGGTGCTCTCTACTAGAAGGCATTGTTCCCTTAGCAAACAAAATCATACAAAATTAGATGAGAGACAATTCAGATATATTACAAGTTAATGACAATTCAACATGGCAGTAATTAATAACTAGGGATGAATTCGTATATGTCAAAATTTTATGGACTCAACAAAACAAAATCATGTCTAGTTGATTTTCCTTACCTGTATTTCAAGCACAAGATTATGGCCTCTAAAGGCAAAGGCAATTATCCCAAGTGCATTAAAAACCATGAAAACTCCAGCCGGTTCTGATTCTACCTCGGGTGTTTTGTAGTACACCTCCGTAGGTCTACCCTGGATAACCGAGACGACCCATATCAGTGTGCAGTAGCAAACTGCGGTGACTGCTCCGATCAGTGAAACGCCGGCTATGGAGTTGAGGTTGGGAAGTTGAGCGAGAATGATTGCGGAGCAAGCAAAAATCAGGTACCACTCCACGAGACTGAGATGTTTTACAGTGCATACTTCGCCACAGACGATCTGGAAAAATATTTTCATGGTCCCACCTCCGATCATGATCAGGGTCACACAGCTGCCGCCTGATAGATACATGATCGGAAAAAGAGAAAGCAGTTTCCCTAATCTTTCTCCTGTAATATGCCACGTGGTATACAATTAATCATCAAACACACTGTACAAAAAACTTTTTCTTTTCTTTTCTTTTATAATACAAAGGCAATCCTTTGTTATTATTTTTATGAGTAATGATACGCGGACAATTTTGGAGAAGAAATCAGAGGACGATAAGTGAAGTAGCATTAAATTAGTAATTGTTATTAAAACTGTTTCACTTGTCGTCTTTCGATTTTGTTTCTCAAAATCGTTTCGCATATCATTACTTTTTTTTTATGTACTTCATTTATTTACATATATTTTTACGTACTTCATTTATTTACATACAGTTTAAATTTAATATTTCTTATTTATATTTAAAAAAAGTATTATTATTAAATTATTTACATTACATATAAATAATTTGATTAGATTATAACAATAATTATTTTCCACGTGGACAAAAGAAAAAGTTTGTTTCCCCTAAAGCTTTTTCTATTAGATTATGATTAAAATTTTCCAAAAGAGAAAAGAGAGTTAGGTTTATTCCCATCAAAGAAGAGATTAAGATTTTAAAATAAGATGTGCATAAATAAATTTGAGTAGATTGTATGTAACAGTAAAAAAAAAAAAAAAAAGGATTGTATATAACGATAATGATTTCCATGCGGGAGAAAGAAAAGGCAGTTTCACCTTGTTAGGTCTATAAAGAGAACAAAGATAGATTAAGATTTATTCCCGTCAAAAATAGAGATTAAGGTTAAAAGTAAGATGCAATATCTTAGTTTCAAGCTTATCCATTCTTAATAGTAAATTCAGTTGTCAATGACCTAATTAACTTAGTCGTAATCTCTTTTTATGGAAGTAAAAGGTTATGAATACGAATCGCATGACATACAAATAAAATGAAATAAGGGATGTGAGAGGATTGCCTCCTATTATGCAATAAATATAAAAAAATTAGTAAATTAAGTTTTCTATATTTTGTGTTACTTTTATGATCATTCCTCCAACTAAATGTAACTTTAAGGTTTTAAGTTTATTTGGCTAGTAATAGTGGCTATTTTTTTTTCAAATAAATTTTTATAAAAAAATTAGGAATAGCTGAACTTTATTATCTACTTTTTCTTTAATGTTGACAAAAAAAAA